ATTAATTCCGTTCTACTCAATCCCCTCTTCCAACCTCCTCAACCCAACCAAATGCTGAAATGGCGATTATCGAATCAACGTATTGCATGCAAGTGTAATCGGAGGGAGGTATTAATGGTGGTGTCATTGTCAAATCGGGTGTTTTACCTGCACTTGAGCTACATGAGATTATTTCAAAGATCATTAAATTTGTAACTTGTATTGAATTAGATGCTGAAATGATAATTAATCCTTTCACTGCGCATATGCACGTAATACGTGCATATTTTCTATTAAATACTGCAGTTGGACGTTACATTTAGGCATAATGAGATATGGAAAGTTTTAATAGTGCACTCATCAACGTGCGTGTGGAGATTACTTGTAAGACGTATACCATTAACCGTAAGCATCCTATTTTACCGACGTGGGAACGTTTCTTCTCTGTTCAAAGTGATATGTTATTTGATCAAGAATATATTATAGATTTATTTGACTGGTGTTTTGGGTCTCTTGTTTTCTTTCAGAATAGCACTTGTCAAGGCAAAGCGTAAAACTGCATATTTAATTTAACTAAACGTCTTAAAATAACAGCAGTGCGAATGCCGTTGGCAATGCGAACTTAAAGGCAATACCTAGCACAATGTGAACCTAAATACAATGCCTATTGCAATCCAAAATTAAAAGCAAGGCCCAGGACAATGGGAATACCTAAAAGCAATACCTAGAGCAATGCGAACGTAAAAACAATATCGAAGGCAATGCGATCGTAAAGGCAATATCGAAGGCAATGCGATCGTAAAGCAATGTAAAGGCCATTCGAACGCAAAATCTAGACCAGGAGCAATGAGAACCTTAAAGCGAGCCTGAGGAAAAGCGAATGTAAAAGCAATGCCTATGGCAATGCGAACATAAGTGCAATATCTGTGCCTTGGGCAATGCAAATGTGAAAGTAATGCTTAGGGCAACGCGAATATGAATGCAATATTCTAGGGCAATGCGAATGTGAAAATAATGACATGTACACACATATTCTTTTGAAATAACAGCATCTCTATGAATTAGGATTAATAATGACATCTGTTGCAAAATGCTAATGGTTGTTGCAAAGTGTAAAATAAATAAAGACATCTTAAAACAACATAGCTTTTACCTTGCAGATCTCTCTCTCTCTCTCTCTCTCTCTCTCTCTCTCTCTCTCTCTGACACATCCATCATTAACCTTCTAATAGAAAGTCACCCCGGAATCCTATGAGAAAAATATAAGCATATCGAAATTAATGGACATACATGCATACATACATACATACATACATACATACATACATACATACATACATACATACATACATACATAATGTGGTCAGAAAGCAAAAGAAAAATATACAGATCATCCAGAATCTTTCTTGACATCTGGAAGAGCCAAAATGCTAGATGTTCTGCTTGCATTAAATTGTGAAGGTGTGATATTCTTAGAACGACAGTATATGACACTGTTGACGAGAATAATCAAGTAAAAAGCTTTGACATGATATCAGTATATTTTACGCAACAAACTGACTTGTCAAATTCAAATTCATATACGGAACAAAGGACTTTAAATGTCAAACTGTTGCAAAAAGGTTTCTTTATATTCAGCAGATGTTTTGGATAAAAGTACCTAAAAAGTTTAAAGTCTTGTGGGCGTTTTTCGATAATGGCTGTAGTTTCAATTAAGCGCTCAAAGGTTAGCTTTGCTAGGCATGTTTCTAAACAGAACAAACGTGGAAGCAAGCATGTCTCGTTGAAGGTGGCGTCAAAATGGTATAAAAGATAGCATTTATAAAATGGACCGTACTATTCATGCAGTTGCCAATACAGTGTGTAGAATTGCCAATACAGTGTGTAGAATTGCCAATACAGTGTGTAGAATTGCTAATACAGTGTTTCGAACTGCAAATACAGTGTGTAAAATTGAAATGCAGTGTATAATTGCAAATACAAAATGCAGACGTTTACAATATTGGAAAGATTATGTCAATAGAAGCGTCTTTAGATTTAAAGAACATTATTAAGTTGTGCCATATTGTCAGAATAACATTAGCACAATATATATGTCTCTCAGAAAATGAAAACAAAATGCAATACAATATTGTCCACCTATATTTGATTTGTTAATTTTCAATCAATATGGCAAGACAAATGTAGGACTATGTGAGCCAACATTAATCAAATGGATATATATATATATATATATATATATATATATATATATATATATATATATATATATATATAAAGAATACAAATCATATGGCGAATAACAACCCTCTCAAGCGTACTGGATCCACCAAGGGATCACGTCTGTCAGGGATTAATTAAAATAGATGCAATAAACTGACGACGAACAGTACGAAACTAGTAACTAACTAGCCTAAGCGCTTTCGACTCCCAATGAGTCTTTTTCAAAGGCAAATACAAAACATAGTTACGACAAACAAATAAACACAAAACGTTGCGTTTGTAAACCTCTACATTTCTATCTTCACATGTGCTAAAACTATAAATACAACCAGCTTGTATAGACTAGTTGCGGAAACTGAAAACGTTGTATAATTCCCTAAAAGTCTACAAGCCAAAGCGACATCTATTTTTACTTTGTGTACATATGTAACGCAGATTATATCCCGGATATTTGGTTCTATACCGGTTATTCTTATAGTAAAAATTGAAGGATAAGAAGATTTAGAAAATGTTAAATTCTACTAGTGCATAGTTTTCATTTTCTAGTCTTCTTGGCTTAGACCGCTTGGTTTCAATGTTCTAAGGCGGCGTATCCAGTATGATTCCTTTTCCTTCCTGGTTTCGGAACTCCAGCTGTGGTTGTTGGCAATAGCGATAAGTATTATATCACTGAAAGTGTGGCCAGGGGAGGAGAAGTGTTCTGCGACCGGGCTTCTGTACAGCTTTTTTGTCATCCAATCAGATCTATGAAGGTTTATCCTTATGTGTAGCTTTTCAGTTTCTCCCACGTACTGAAGGCCACAGATCTTACATGTGATGAGATAAATCACATTCTCTGTTTTGCACGTTTTGTGTGGACCATGTATGTTTAGTTTTTCTTTAGTCACTGTGCTAGTGAATGTCTTGGTCTCTATCATATGTTGACAGGTTTTGCATCTTTTATCGCCACAGGGTCCAGATTGACTAGGTTGGTTGTGACTAGCGATTGTTGTTAGCTTGGCCCTGACTAGGATGTCCTTTAGGTTTTTTGGTCTCCGGTAAGCTACTACAGGTTTGTTCGGAAGTATTAGGTTTAGTATGTCTGACGATTGCACGGTTGGCCAGTGGTTTGCGATGATTTTACCTACTTTGGGATTGTCTGGGTGATAGGTCAGAATAAATGGTATCCTATCAACCTTTTCTTTCTGTCCATATCTGAGTAGGTCATCACGGTTTGTTTGTTTGGCCCTTTGGATTGCCTCCGCAATCAGGTCTTTGTCGTAGCCTCGGTTAATTAAATGTTTAGCCAGCTCTTCAGACCTTTCTATGAATCTTTCATCGTCAGAGCAAATTCTGCGTATCCTCAGTGCCTGGCTATATGGAATGTTCTTAATGCAGTGTTTTGGATGACAGCTGGTTGGGAGAAGATACTGGTGTTTGTCGGTTGGTTTCGAGTAGATGTCTGTTTGTAATTTGTTTTCCACCAGTCTGGTTGTTGTGTCCAGGAAAACATGGTTTGAGTTGGAAATTTCTGCCGTGAATTTTATTGAAGGATGGAAGTTGTTTGCCTTTGAAATGAAGTCATCCAGACTTTCTCTTCCATACTGCCACTTCATTTCTATATCATCGATAAAGCGTACCCACTGGTATGGTGTACGCTCAACCGATGCTAAGAGCTTTCCCTCAAGTTTTCCCATGAAAATGTTAGCATACGAAGGGGCCATTTTAGTACCCATTGCAGTTCCATTGATTTGTAGGTAGTTTTCTTCATTAAATTCAAAGTTGTTGAGTTTTAGGACAAGCTCCAGGAGTTGGATTAAGAAGTGTGTGGGTGGATTGTTTACAGTTCTTGTTTCCCATGCTTCGCTGCATGCCTGTAACCCTTCGTTGTGCGGTATGTTGGTGTACAAAGATGTGACGTCTAAGGAAGCAAGTAATGTATCTGGCAGTAATGGTTCACTAGCTTTGCTTTTTATGAGATAATCTGTCGTGTCTTGAAGATATGATGGTAATTTGTGGACATGTGGTCTCATAAAATGATCTAAATATTCTGATATCCTTTCTGTGGGGTGCCCGTTACCTGAGATTATAGGTCTGCCAGGGTTTCCTTGTTTGTGGATTTTGGGTAGAAGATAAAATCTACCTGCTCTTGGGTTTTCTGGGCTTAAGTAGTTTTTGGTTTGCTGGTCTATGTGTCCGCTTTGGTACGCCTCGTCAATAACATTAGTGATGATTTTTGCATATTCCAGCGTTGGATCATGGTCCAGTTTTTGGTAGAACCTAGCGTCACTTAGTTGTCTACTTGCTTCACTAATGTAGTCTTCCCTATTCATAACGACAATAGCGGAACCCTTATCTGCAGGCTTAATTATTATGTCTGTTCTGCTTTTCAGTGAGTGCAGGGCATCTGTTTCTTCTTTTGTCAAATTAGAATATTTGTTAGTATGGTTGATATGTCTGGAAATATCGTTTTCAACCGAGTTGATAAAGGCTTCCAGATTCGGAATTGAACTTTTTGGTGGGGTCCAGTTACTTTTCTTTCTAAATGTATATATATATATATATATTATGAGACCTTTCAATTTATGCATTCATCCTCGAAATAAAGCACGTTCATGTGTAATAACCTGCATTGGACTGTTAATAGATTACATGAATCTTTAAACACACACGCACACGCAATTTCGATGTTATACTTTCATATTGTATACACAGGTAAAGCCAGGTTGACACATCAATATATAGAAGTAGGTCTGATTTCGGTTAATGTTCTAATCTGAGAGCTTCGTTTGCTAGTCTGGGAGTGTTATAAGTTGATAGACCATTCAGGTGGCCTAGTGGTTAGAGCGTCCGCCTCGGATACGAGAGGTCGCGTGTTCGAACCCCGACCGAGTCATAAGAAAGACTTATTAAAGAAATGTTACTAACAGCTGCCTCGCCAGGCGCTCAGCATTAAAAGATTAGTGTTAGTACTGTTTGGCCTGGTGTTAGAATAATGTGACTGGTTGGGACATCATGTTACATGTCTAAGGCATGATGCCCCAGTGCTGGACAAAACTATAATCTGTCACACTGCAGACATCGTAGTGATATGACCAAAACATTGTTAAAGCTACGTTAAAAATCCAAATCACACACAGACGCACACTATAATTCGATTTGAGTGTTTGTATCTCCTCAAGATTGATCTCTGAAGGACATCGACTGTTGAGAAACTCGAAAGGTCGAGTTCGACTTTATAAAGAGCCGAGGGCGAATCATTTTTGTTTGCTTTAGTAATAAACGATGTTTAAACATGAATATTGGCCACCATACATTGTTGATGATTTTTGCTAAACATCTACCCCCTCAAGTAACCATGCTACATTACATCCGTTTAATTGCTCTAAGTTAAATTGCTGTAATATTGTGCTCAGGAAAGTGAACACAAAACAAAAGAAATTCGAAACAGGCTAATGTATTATTTTAATGACTTTTAAACAGGAATAAATAGACAATCGATACAGAAAATATTTATATTATGTTCCCGTGGAAGAATATTGATTTATTTTCCTAATAGGACATTTAAAGAGTTTAAAATCAGTTTCGGAATGGTAAAATAGTTTATTATACATGTATCATTATATAACTCATGAAGGTTCCTTTGACCTTAGTCTGATCCGAAAATTGGAATCAAATACGCCTCAACCAAAGGAAACGCAACGCAAACACAAATATTAAGTTATTCTGTCGATGAAATGTTTCATATATATTGTTACGACTCATTGGTCTTAAACTGAGCAACAGAAAGAAGCGAAATCAACAAGTCATGTGCAGTTCAACGAATGAATTATTTCCCTCGAATACAAAGTGAAAACTGAATAGACACTTACAGTATTATAATTAAATCATAAATGATCCTAAATGATCCTAAATATTCTATCACAATAAAAAGTTTATACAATGTTGCGAATGAATTCAAGCAATCGTTAGCTTGCTGATGTACCAATATTATTGATCTATTAAAATGATATGATCCAAAATGTCTTTGAATGAATTCACAAAAATAAATAATTCCTCTGAAAGGATATACACGTACAATTAAAATCTCTAATCATATATTCTAAAAGACTGGAATGAAACAAGTATGAATACTGGTTTACCTAATCTCCAATATTTACAGTCCCCTGACCTGTCAGGCAACAAAATGCCCTGGATGTGTGTCATGTCGAATTGAAATGTCCATCAGATGATCTGGAATTTGATTAAAGTAAACAACATGACAAACATCAGGTGGACACAACCTTCAGCGATGACAAAAGTAAGCTACACAAAAACTCTACCCTTAATCACAGACAAAGATCAATCACGCGACTAAAATTAAATATTCACAACAATATCATAACAAATATTATATAACTAAAGTACGACGAAAGTATATTTTACCTCGATTACATCCACCCACCTTGTGGCTCTGAAGATTGGGTCTAAATTTAGTGTAGTGTTCTCCTGATGTGACTGTTGTTAGGTGACGCCATGCTTTAAAGCGATGAATGTAAATCTCAGATATGCACTTTATACAATTTTTCGGATCAGCTAGGTTAAATAGATTCTTTGTTTTGAGTTATATAAATGTATGTAATAAACTATTGTATGTAATAAACTATTGTATGTAATAAACTATTGCATGTAATAAACTATTGCATGTAATAAACTATTCTGAAACTGACTGGCAACATATTTAGCTTGGTTTTATAAAGACCTGAGAACGTGTCATTATTGCTTGGTTTAGTAACAAACGGTGTTTTAGCAAAAATATTGTCGACAATGTATAGTTGTAGATATTCTCAACAGTTACCGCCTCCTGAACCATTACACCCCATACTTCGACTGATTACTCAAATTGAAACTGCTGTAAAATTGTGTGCAAGGAAGCAAAGGCGAAATGAATACAATTTGAAACTGGCTAATGCATCATGTTGATGACCTTGAGACCGTATAATAAAGTCAACGCAGACAATATTTCTATCACATGGCAACTTTTTGTGTATAGTTTGCTGACTTGGACATTAAAAACATTTAAATAATTTTGATATTGACACATGATTATTTGTCTATGTGCATTTGTATTACATTGTAAAGAGAAAAAAATGTACGTCTGACCTTGAAGCAGCATCGTGCATAGTATCATTTTCAGACGGAACCGAGTCTTCCATAATGATGTATGGAGAACTGGAACGTATACACGAAGATATTAACAAAATAATTTTTGAATTTCACAGGCAATGATTCTTTAAGGAAAGGGAGAGTTGTGGTTGATGAAAAGGGGAGAGACTGAGCGTGAAAAATGTAACATCTTCTATGAAGCTCGGTGCACATTTCCTAAGCTGTGGATCATATCTCAGTTTTACTCTGGATAGTTATACATCAATGATCTCTTTGAAACTTCTCATAAAATATATTATCATAGTTTGCAACCGAACAACTTTTTTATGTTTTTGCGGCCTTTTCCGTAAATGTGGGTTAGTTTTAGATTTAATGAGGCAAAAGGTAAATATACCTTGATTTAATGTCAGAGAAAGTTTCTAAAGACTGTGCATATCAAATTGCTGAAAGCATAATCCCTTCAGAATTATTCTGATTGCATAAATGACAATCAAATAAAAATTTCTTGACTAAAAACCGCAGATATAAATTAAAGTAAATATTCCCCCATTTCAATATATACTTTAAAATAAAGCCTTGAAGAATGATATTCACAGAAAATACAGCTTTCTATTTTGATATTAAATTTGCAAAGTTCATAAATTACGTTCAATTACATTTTCTCTTAGTGTCAAGTCCCACCAAAGCCGTATTAAGAATGAATTCGTTTATAAGATATCTGAATTTCAAATCCAATGAGTAGTACTGAAGCACAAATAACACTGGGTCTGCTTCAGAGATAAAATGTTCTATTTATTATGGAGTTTGATGTGCTGAATTTAAATGTGGAAATTAAAGTAAATGATTGGCTATTGTTTTCAATATATATATATATATATATATATATATATATATATATATATATATATATATATATATATATATATATATATATATATATATATATATGTGTGTGTGTGTGTGTGTGTCTGTGTGTGTGCGTGTGTGTGTTTGTTTACATTTTACGTGTAGATATTAGTGTCTTAATCATAAATTGCAAACCTCGGTCTTTTCATGTGCTTAAGGCTTCTTTCCTGATAATATTTCACCTGTCATGTTCATGTAACACTTTAGAAAACAGCAAAAGGATTAGATAAATAAAATTTATTATGAAACAAAAGGCAAAAACGTATATATTTAAGTTTAGTCTTTATTCAGTGTATACTCGGTGCTTCTTGGCATGTCTCTTGTATTCATTAAATGGACCCGTCTCTTGTCATTCTCCATCAATAGCCTGCAAGCATTCATATACTCCATTTGCCCTTAAAGCGTGTCTCCATTGTTGCAATGTCTTGGTGGAAAAAAAAAGATCAAGATGAGAGTGCAAAACATTCATTTTTCATGACAAGTTGTAACCATGGCTTTCGTATGCCTTGAGGAGGTTTTCCACCAAATCCATATAGTTGTCTGCCTTGTTGTTTCCCAGAAAATGTGTTGTCACTGACTGGAAGCCTTTTAATGCCGTCTTTTATTTGACACGCAGTGCTCGGTCAGATGCATTTCGAAGAAGTTCACGAATGTGAGGACCAACAAAGATACCTTCTTTTGTCTAAGCTTTACTAAACCTTGGATATTGTTCTAAAAATGTACTTTAAAGCTGCTTGTGTTTTGTCCATGACCTTGACAAAGTTCTTCATCAGACCCCGCTTGATGTGCAAGGGTGGTAACAAAATCTTCCCTAATTCAGAAAGATGTGGATGCTAAACAATTTTTCTCCCAGATTCCAATGACTGTCGGAGTGGCCAATCTCTCTTGATGAAATTGTAATCTCTCGCACAACTATCCAATTCGAATTGGAAACAGCAGTACTCTGTGTATCCGGACAGCATACTAAGTAAGAGATCAAGAACCTTCAAATCGGCACAAAGCTGCACTGAAGGTGGTCATAGTTTATGCACCTCCAAAGTTATTTCATATTTTCTTAGGTTTCCTTCATATGGGCATCTTCTTAGGTTTCCTTCATATGGACATCATGACCAACTGGAATTGATGGCAAAACATTGCCATTATGCAGCAAAACAGATTTAAGACTCGTCTTCGATGAATCAATGAACAGTCTCCACTCATCTGGATCATGAACGACATTGTAGGCTGCCAACACACATTTGATGTTGTTGCGGGCTACAAGTTCATCTTCCATGAAGAGGAATGAGACAATATGCTTTAAAAGGACACGGAACATGGAAATCATAACATTACTTGTGAGGAGATTCCATTGCTGTAGTCTAGAGTCCAACAGCTCTGCCTTAATCTTGGATAATTCCAAATCCCCGACAAGGTCACTCAGTTCACCTTGTGATACGAAGTGTGGTTCAGAGGAGGAAAATGGGAGAAAATATGGGACATGTGACATTGATGGTTCAAGTCTAGAAGTTTCATTCTCTTCCTCACCTGACTCAAGTGAAAATGATTCTGACGCATCAGGAGCCAGCAGTCCTTCTCAGTGGGGTACTGGGCGTAAAACAGTCCACATTTTCTTTTTTGACACACCTTTCCCAATTGGAGGCACCATGCATAAGTACCAACTTCTGATATGATCACTTGGCTGTCTTCAAATCATTGGCACTGCAAAATGCATAGATTTAGCGTTCCTGTTCAATCACTTGCGAAGATTTGTTGCACAAGTATTGCAGCATGTGTGTGAAACCCACCTCTTACCCTGATCTCCAGTTTTGCAACCAAATTAAAGGTGATAGGCTTTCTTTAACCATT